AGTTGAATGGAGAAGCAGTCTGCAATCCACAAAACCTTACAGAAGCTGTTGCATCTTTGTGTGCGGTGAGATTCTTTGTTGGCTATCTCTAAGTTGGTTTCTCTCATTATGAGCCGGCTCAGGTGTTAAGATCATCAGGAGGCCTTTCTCTCAGTCCCACCACCTTCACTTTGTGGAGACATTTTTGCTGTCCTTTTGCAACCGGACAATGAAATTTGTCTTTAGGCAAGCTTTCCCTGAGTGACTGGCTACCTGAACATGATTTTTAGATGGATTGTTACACGTTACTGCTTTGACTGTTTTCTTTTTAATACTGCTTGTGCTTGCCATTTCTCAGAATGATATTTGTTCCTTTTTAATATTTGTACACTTATTGTTTGTAGCTTTGATGTTGCTTTTTTAATTATGCAAGCTGCCTTTTTGTAATTATTCTTAGGTTTAAATATTGTCTTTTAATGATGTTAAGCCACCATTGTATACTCATTGTTTACAGCTTTAAATATTGACTTTCGATGTAGTAGGGAAGCAGCCTTCAGCCCTTTCTAAGGAGAAGGCTGGGGTAAAAATATTTTAAATAAATAAATCTTCTGCAACCCAGTACAGACAGCACTTTTCCACAGGTACGCTTTGGGTCAGAGTGTGCCCATTATTGCCACTGTTATAGATAAGAGTCGGTCGCCACCTTCCTCCTTATTCTCTGTTTGCTTAAGAGGAATAAAAGTTAGTAGGACATGAAATATTTATTTCCACAAAGCACTCTTTGGGCTTATTGCCCTGATCAAATAAAAAAAAAGGGTGCACCGTTTCTGCTTTCCAAGCGAGCTGAGGTTATTATCAATTTGCTCCTGATATAAAGGAGTGATTTCTATAGCCTTACATCTGCTCTCGGAAGGGGAAAAGAAAATGGTCCATAAAATTCCATTAGCATACAAAAGCAGAAGCATCTGCAGGGAGGCCGGCGGTTCTTATTGCCGGCACTTAATCAGAAGAGCCAGCAATGACTTCGATCACCTTTGCCCTCATCAAATACTTGCTGGTCCACCTTGGCTTCATCACAGAAGACATTCAGGGACGGGTTGAGAATTTTACCAAACAAGCCCTTCCTAAAAGTAAATTAATTCCTGTGCAGTTTCTTTTTTTTTTAAGTTATCTACTAATTAACCTTGACTGCATTATTTATACAGGCCTTTCTGTGGGCACAACCGAAAGCAAGCACAGCATTGCTTCCACGGAGCAGGAGAGACACCAGACAGTGTTCCCTTTTATCAAGTTAAACGGAGAATCAAGTTACTCCTTCAGACAGCTTATGTTTGTCTCTTTTTCAACATAACAGTAGCACCATCTAGAGGATAAGAGGAAGCAGTTCAGAGCAGCTCCTTACCCATCTTGTGAGTTGGGGTGAGAAAATCTGGGTCTGTTTCTCCGATTCAAATATTTAAAACTACCTACAAGTTTGTTCTGAATATGAAGAAACTTGGACACGTTGGCAAATGTATCTAAAGCCAACTCCAACAACACATTCCCTGGGCCAAATTCAATACAGTAAACACAATGACTGTTGAGTCAGCCTGCCATGCAGGAGCCAAAGATGGCATGTTTCACCAATAAAACTTTATTTCAGCTGTAACCTAGTTGAACACACAGGAATTCAAACACAGAATTTTACACATTGTATATTCCATGCCTGGAACTGGATGAACCAATGTGTTGTTGTTGTTTAGTCCTTCAGTCGTGTCCGACTCTTCGTGACCCTGTGGACCAGAGCACGCCAGGCCCTCCTGTCTTCCACGGCCTCCCGGAGTTGTGTCAAATTCATGTTGCTCGCTTCAATGACACTGTCCAACCATCTCGTCCTCTGTCTTCCCCTTCTCCTCTTTCTCTCACACTTTCCCAACATCAATGTCTTTTCCAAGGAGTCTTCTCTTTTCATGAGATGGCCAAAGTACTAGAGCCTCAGCTTCAGGATCTGTCCTTCCAGTGAGCACTCGGGGTTGATTTCCTTTAGAATGGATAGGTTTAATCTCCTGGCAGTCCAGGGGACTCTCAAGAGTCTCCTCCAGCACCACAATTCAAAGGCATCAATTCTTCGGCGGTTAGCGTTCTTTATGGTCCAGCTCTCATTTCCATACATCACTACTGGAAAAACCATAGCTTTCACTATGCGGACGTTTATCAGCAAGGTGATGTCTCTGCTTTTTAAGATGCTGTCTAGGTTTGTTATCTCTTTCCTCCCAAGAAGCTGGCATCTTTTAATTTCATGGCTGCTGTCTCCATCTGCAGTGATCATGGAGCCCAAGAAAGTAAAATCTGTCACTGCTTCCATATCTTCCCCTTCCATTTGGCAGGAGGTGATGGGACCAGTGGCCATGATCTTATTTGATGTTGAACTTCAGACCGTTTTTTGCGCTCTCCTCTTTCACTCTCATTACAAGGTTCCTTAATTCCTCCTCTTTCTGCCATCAGAGTGGTATCATCTGCATATCTGAGGTTGTTGATATTTCTTCCGGCAATCTTAATTCCAGCTTGGGATTCCTCCAGTCCAGCCTTCCACATGATGTATTCTGCATATAAGTTAAATAAGCTGGGGGACAATACACAGCCTTGTCGTACTCCTTTCCCAATTTTGAACCAATCAGAGTTTCCATATCCAGTTCTAACTGTTGCTTTGTGTCCCACATATAGGTTTCTCAGTAGATAGATAACGTGGTCAGGCACTCCCATTTCTTTAAGAACTTGCCATAGTTTGTTGTGGTCCACACAGTCAAAGGCTTTTGCATAGTGAATGAAGCAGAAGTAGATATTTTTCTGGAACTCTCTGGCTTTCTCCATAATCCAGCGCATGTTAGCAATTTGGTCTCTAGTTCTTCTGCCCCTCCGAAATCCAGCTTGAACTTTATTACTAAAGCTCAAACATTAACATTCTTACCAAATCCTCCTAGAAGGTGTTGTTGGTCAACACTGCCTGTGTAGGAATGCTTTCATGGTGTAGACACACTACATCTAGGAACATTTCTTACCGTGTGCTAGTTCCCAGAAAAAAAAGAGGAAAGTGTTAACAAACTCCCTCCCCATTTTTCCTGGGGTAGAGCAAATGAGGTGGGATCTTGTTGTCTGCATTGATGGAAATACTATTAGTACTAATATTGGGAACAAAATCCCCTAAATACCAATTCTAAAACTTTTTTTTTTTATAACACTAGCCTGGGGAAGGCTTAGAGGTATTTCAACTACTGTCTAGGAGTAAAAGCAAGAACTTGTGCTTATGACTTTAGTGCAAGCAGATGTTTAATTTAAAATGATGTTCTTTAAGTCTATTTCTTAATTTTATGACTTGATAACTGTTTATTATTTCACTGTGATTTTGTCATGCTTTTTGGATTTTACCACCGTGTTCCCTGCCCACAATAGTGTTGCGCACTAATGGGGCGATATATATACCCTGGCAATCATCATCATTGAACGGCTGCATACATATATACATATAATATACATACCCACAACTGTGGGTCCTGATGGTAATTTTAATTGTATTTTAATCATTTTATCGTTTATTGTACTTTTAATTGAATTTTAATTGTTGTAAGCTGCCCGGAGACCTTTGGGTTAGAGTGGGCGGCATATAAATTAAATAAAAATAAATAAATAATAAATACATCTTTGCAGCGTGCATATGTGTGTGTCTTTTAATCTAAGCTAAAAACAACTTGGAAAAGGTGTCAATGAGGTCTACCTTTACATATATCTTTATAAATTATATAAATAATTACTTACTATAATTTATAATAATTTATAAATTATAAACTGTATAATGCATAACATATGCATGCTATATGCACACACACATATATAATGTGCACGCTATAAGAATGTATGCAGTTCGACGACGATGATGATGATGATGATTCCCAGGACATCTTCTAAATCACATTTAATTTTGAGGGGGAAAGGGAGATCTGTCCAATGATTAAGAAATATGTATATATTTTTTATTTAAAAAATTAAACATTACTGGCTAGCCCCATTTCATCACATCTACCCCATTTAATCCAAATATCCCTTCCAGCGACCCAGAAACTGCTCCCTAATGACTATCTCATGCACGGACACGCCCCTAATTCCAAGCCCCGCCCCCTGGTGGGGAGGGGGCTCTCCCGGCCCTCCTCCGCACTTCCGGTGTCCTCCTCGCCCGCCCGCGCGCCACGCCCCCTCCTCCCGCACTTCCGGGGGAGGCGTTCCTTAGCAACGGAGGCTTCCCTAAGAGACGCGGTTTCGGGGCGCTTTCCGGCGGCGCGATGGTAGGAAAAGGGGGCGGGAGAAGGGGCAGAGGGGGGGTGGGTTGTTTGTGAGGGTCCCCCCCCTTTCCCCCTCGCAATGGGGAGG